CCCTCTTACACTGTTGGTGGGAATGCAAATTAGTACAGCCGCTATGGAGAACAGTGTGGAGATTTCTTAAAAAGCTGGAAATAGAACTGCCATATCACCCAGCAATCGCACTTCTGGGCATACACACCAAGGAAACCAGATCTGAAAGAGACAAGTGCACCCCAATGTTCATTGCAGCACTATTTATAATAGCCAGGACATGGAAGCAACCTAGATGCCCATCAGCAGACGAATGGATGAGGAAGCTGTGGTACATATACACCATGGAATATTACTCAGCCATTAAAAAGAATTCATTTGAATCAGTTCTAATGAGATGGATGAAATTGGAGCCCATTATACAGAGCGAAGTAAGCCAGAAAGATAAAGACCATTATAGTATACTAACACATATATATGGAATTTAGAAAGATGGTAACGATAACCCTATATGCAAAACAGAAAAAGAGACTAAGATGTATAGAACAGACTCTGGGAGAAGGCGAGGGTGGGATGTTTCAAGAGAACAGCATCGAAACATGTATGGAGGTGGGAGGGGGGACTGGGATGGGGAATACATGTAAATCCATGGCTAATTCATTTCAATGTATGACAAAAACCACTGCAATGATGTAAAGTAATTAGCTTCCAACTAATAAAAATAAATGGAAAAAAAAATAGGCTGAGCTGGACACCTCTGAAGATACTTGTTACATATAAATAATTGATGATTATATGAAGTACTTAATACAAACATTGTTGGTATCATAAAGAATTTAACTGCTCTTTGTCTTTGGTTCCTGGAGGGGAAACGCAAACCCTTGGAACTTCCCAGGGGATAGGAGTGTTTTTGTTATGTTAATGATGAGGTGACTCAGGGTAGGCCTCTACATGCCTTCAGAATGGGGACTGGTCATACCTGAAAGACCTAACATGTGACTAGAGAATGGAGGCTTTGAGCCATGTGATATTGAGGAAGGGGATAGATGGGACCCTAGGTGAACAGCTGGTGTTTGTCAAGTAGAGTAAAATTCAAGCCTTCTTCTTACCCAGACACTCCAAGGACAAAGATAGTGGCACAGGCTGAGTTCTGCTAAAGCAGAGAGAGAAGGTGCCTGAGGTCAAGGAAGACTTCCCTGTCTGCATGTGTGCAGGAAGGCTTCTCAGGGGGTCAGAAAGGGAGGCGGCCTCACCCCATAATAACTGTGGACATGTACCCATAGGCCTCTGTGATAGGATCCATCTTATCAAAATGTTGCTCACACATCTGGGGGGAGGGTCCAAGGATCAGTCAGGTGTGAAGAAAGAAACAAGATAATTGGCCAGGAAGGACTGATGCTGAAGTTGAAACTCCAATACTTTGGCCACCTCATGCGAAGAGCTGACTCACTGGAAAAGACCCGGATGCTGGGAGGGATTGGGGGCAGGAGGAGAAGGGGACGACAGAGGATAAAATGGCTGGATGGCATCACCGACTCGATGGGCATGAGTTTGAGTAAACTCTGGGAGTTTGCTATGGACAGGGAGGCCTGGCGTGCTGTGATTCATGGGGTCGCAAAGAGTCGGACAAGACTGAGCGACTGAACTGAACTGAACTGAACTGAAACCTCGAATAGCCAAAGCAATTTTAAGAAGAATGGAACTGAAAGAATCAATCTGCCTGACTTCAGACTATACTACAAAGCTATAGTCATCAAGAGAGTATGGTACTGGCACAAAGACAGAAATATAAATCAATGGAACAAAATAGAAAGCCCAGAAATAAATCCATGCACCGATGAACACCTTAGCTTTGACAAAGGAGGCAAGAATATACAATGGAGAAAAGACAATCCCTTTAACAAATGGTGCTGGGAAAACTTATCAACCACTTGTAAAAGAATGAAACTAGAATACTTTCTATCACCAGACACAAAAATAAACTCAAAATGGATTAAAGATCTAAACGTAAGACCAGAAACTATTAAACTCCTAGAGGAAACATAGGCAAAACACTGACATAAATCACAGCATGATCCTCTATGACCCACTTCCCAGAGTAATGAAAATAAAAGCAAAAATAAACAAATGGGACCTAATTAAACTTAAAAGCTTATGCACAACAAAGGAAACTATAAACAAGGTGAAAAGACAGCCTTCAGAATGGGAGAAAATAATAGCAAACGAAGCAACTGACAAAGAATTAATCTCAAAACTATAAAAATAGCTCCTGCAGCTCAATTCCAGAAAAATAAATGACCCAATCATAAAATGGGCCAAAGAACTAAACAGGCATTTCTCTAAAGAAGACACAGATGGCTAACAAACACATGAAAAGATGCTCAACATCACTCATTATCAGAGAAATGCAAATCAAAACCACAGTGAGGTACCATCTCATGCCAGTCAAAATGGCTGCTATCAAAAAGTCTACAAACAATAAATGCTGGAGAGGGTGTGGAGAAAAGGGAACCCTCTTACAATGTTGGTGGGAATGCAAGCTAGTACAGCCACTATGGAGAACAGTGTGGAGATTGCTTAAAAAACTGGAACTAGGACTGCCATATGACCCAGCAATCCCACTGCTGGGCATACACACCGAAGAAACCAGAACTTAAAGAGACACGTGCACCCCAATGTTCATCACAGCACTGTTTATAATAGCCATTGCATGGAAGCAACCTAGATGTCCATCGGCAGACGAATGAATAAGAAAGCTGTGGTGTATATATATACACAATGGAATATTACTCAGCCATTAAAAAGAATGCACTTGAATCAGTTCTAATGAGGTGGATGAAATTGTAGCCCATTATACAGAGTGAAGTAAGTCAGAAAGAAAAACACCATACAGTATACTAACGCATATGTATGGAATTTAGAAAGATGTTAACGATGACCCTATTTGCAAGACAGCAAAAGACACAGATGTAAAGAACAGTCTTTTGGACTCTTTTTGGGAGAAGGCGAGGGTGGGATGACTTGAGAGAACAGCACTGAAACATGCATATTATCATATGTGAAACAGTCTAGGTTCGATGCATGAGACAGGGTGCTCAGGGCTGGTGCACTGGGATGACCCTGAGGGGTCGGATGGGGAGGGAGGTGGGAGGTGGGAGGGGGGTTCAGGATGGGGAATACATGTACACCCATGGCTGATTCATGTTAATGTATGGTAAAACCCACTATAATATTGTAAAGTAATTAGCCTCCAATTAAAATAAATTAATTAATTAAGAAAAAAAAATAACTGGCCAAATGTAAACAAAGACCGGGAAACAATGTTCTACGTGACTTAAATCACGTCTTCACTGCACTCCTCACTGGGTGTGTATTTCTGCCTTGTTTATGTCTTAAATACACTATTTCTCCATGTGCTCTCCCATACATTGTGCTGTAACTCTAATAATAAACTTTATACCTGTTTTTAATAGTTTTTGCCTCCTTGAAACATTCTTGCTTTCAAATGGGGGAAACAGTCAGGGTCATTTTGCCTCGAGCCCCTAGATCCTGGTGGCCTGGTGGCTAGGATTCCTGGTTTTCATTTAGGTTTCCTAGGTTCAATTCCTGAGTAGGGAACTAAGATCTCTCTTCAGGACTGCTGTCTCTCCAAGATAAGTATTAGCCTAGCCTCCTGACCTCCAGGAAGAGGAAGAGAACTGCAGATAAGAGTTCAATAACATGGCCAGTCATGCCTACATATAAAACCCCCATAAAACCTCTAAACACTGAAGCTAGTTCAGTAGAGATCTCTGGTTAATTAATACACTGGTGTGCTGGGAGGCAAATGTGCTCTGATCCTACAGGGAAAGAACATAAAAGCTCTACAGTTAGGACCTATGAGCCATGGCCCTAAGTCTCTTAATTATGCTGTTTCTGAGTGACATCTTTTTGTAACAAAATTGTAATTGTAAGTACAGTGCTCTCCTAAGTTATGGGACTCTATAGACTCATTGGAGAAGATCCTGATGCTGGGAAAGATTGAAGGCAGGAGGAGAAGACGACAGAGGATAAGACAGTTGGATAGCATCACCAACTCGAGGACATAAATTTGGGCAAGCTCTGGGAGTTGGTGGACAGGGAAGCCTGGCGTGCTGCAATCCATGGGGTTGCAAAGAGTTGGACACAACTGAGCAACTGAACTGAACTGAACTGAACACATTATTGAACCTGCGGTGTCACAGGAACCCCCAAATTTGAAGCGAGTTAGCCAGAACAGGCCTGGAGACCTCTGTAGTGTGGCTAGTGTCTGATAAGGGCAGACCTGTTGGGGACTTAAGCCCTCACTCATAGCATCCATGCTAACTCTAGGTAGTTAGTGCTACAATAGAATTGTAGTATGCTAGTTGGCGTTAGACCAGTTGGAGCTGAAACAGAATAAATACATTTAATCTAAACATTTGTAATCTAAAGCTTAATGTTGAATACAGGCATTCATTTCCTAATGATAAAGTATACATTTTGTGTATGTACAGCTATGCATTTCAAAAGGCAAATAAACTCCTCCAATACTAAATAGACAGATATTTAATGCATGCCAGTATTACAACAATTTCCACATACTAAGAAAATGATATTGTTTTCATCATTTTCAACAAAGTAAAACAATTTCACAATGAAAAAAAGAAGATAACAGCACAGAGGAAACTGATCTTTAGCACTTTCCAACAAAGTAATTCTGCCAAAAATATTACATAGAAAAGTATCATATCCTTTGCTAAAATGAGCTGTAACAATGTAGTATGTTAAGTATTACCTTATTAAACCATGTGAAACCTGGTTTAGAAATTCATGGCAACCAGTAACTACACTTGAAGGTTTAATATTTAATACTTAGTTTTTAAAAAATCAGGAAATCCATAAGCAATTTGTGCCTACCAAAAACAGTCAAAACATAATTTCACCTCAGATTAATTAAAATTCATTGATAAATTCTAGAAAAAATAAATACTGTGGACTAATTTAAAGGTGTTTTTCATGTAAAACAGTACAATTAACCTCAAGCCAATATTCTACATGTCATTAGTACATGTGATGCTTACCTGGTTTAACAGTCCGCCCGCAGAGCTGGGGTTGTAGAAGAATTTGCAACATGGCAGGGTTGTTTAAACTTTTCATGATTTGCACTGGATTTGGCTCTGGAAGTAAGCCCTTTTGATTACTGTGCCTCTTTGATGAATACAGAAATACAAAAATAAGAGCATGAATACAGAAATACAAAAATAAGAACAAAAGTAAGCACAAAGATGAAACTGTAAAGGCTTTTTTTTTTTCTGGAAATTCTCATTTGTCTGATAAGATCTATTTTATAATAAACACAACTTGTTTTATGCAATACACTTGTATACATTCTACCACAATTCCTAATTATATATAAGATACTCTAAGATGTGAGTTTCCCTGGTAGCTCAGCTGGTAAAAAATCCGCCTACAAGGCAGGAGACCTGGGTTTGATCCCTGGGTAGGGAAGGTCCCGTGGAGGAGGGCATGGCAACCCACTCCAGTATTCTTGCCTGGAGAATCCTCATGGACAGAGGAGCCTGGTGGGCAGCGGTCCATGGGGTCACAAAGAGTCAGACACAACTGAGCAACAAGCATAGCACAGCATTCTAAGATATTCATGCAACATACACCGAAATCCTCAGAGAAGGTTTCAGTGAAACAGAAATGGCTTTAAGAGAACTAACAATTTAGTCAGATGAATCTCTTCATGCAAGGGGCAAGGTATCAAGGGAATCCGAATTTACTAACAGGGAGGTAACCTGACACAGTATGAATACTTTGATACTACAGAAGAATCTTACTATAATGTTGATCTAAAGTTTAATGATGTGGGATGCTTTACAAAGCAATATTTTCTTATAATTAAGGTCTTGATTCATTAATCTTCTAACATGAAACAAAGATGAATGGGCTTTATATACATATAACTGGGTAGCTAAACATACGACATTGTTCTCAGGTTTTAAAAACAGCTCTCCTCGTCCATCCTCTAGGCCCTCAATGTCTACACACTCACACACAAGGAAGCCAATTGCCACCCCGCTACCAAAAGAAATATGTGATCACAGAACAAAGTAACTAGACATCTGGAAAATGCAGCCACAAAAACTAAAGGCAACAAACCGAAGCACCTATAAGAGACGATAGGAAATAATAAGAATGGTAACTAAACAAAGCAGGTATCCTAAAAAAAGATAACAGGTTTTTATCTGTAACATGAAACACGGAGAAGTGGTTATGAAGAACAACCAATTAGAAATACGATGTGCAAAAAGCACAACTGTTTGCAAAAAAATAATAGCAGCCATCACTTACTGTATATACTTGGCATTGTTCTAAGCCTGTTACATGGACTAAATCACTTAATGCCCCAAAGCAACTCTACAGGGTTGGTATTATACCCCCATTCTATAGGTGAGGGAACCGAAGAAACACATAAAGATTTATTCTTAACCTCCACTCTGTGCTTTAATAGATATGTTAAATAGTAGAATACATGTGACTGAAAAACAAAATAGTGATCTGAAAGATCAGGTCAGATAAAGATCAAAGAATATATGAGCAAAGGATAAAGAAGGAACTGACAACAAAATAAAATGATAGTGCTTGCTTCGGCAGCACATATACTAAAATTGGAACGATACAGAGAAGATTAGCATGGCCCCTGCACAAGGATGACACGCAAATTCGTGAAGCGTTCCATATTTTTAATAGCCAGGACATGGAAGCAACCTAGATGCCCATCAGCAGACGAATGGATGAGGAAGCTGTGGTACATATACACCATGGAATATTACTCAGCCATTAAAAAGAATTCATTTGAATCAGTTCTAATGAGATGGATGAAACTGGAGCCCATTATACAGAGTGAAGTAAGCCAGAAAGATAAAGACCATTACAGTATACTAACACATATATATGGAATTTAGAAAGATGGTAACAATAACCCTATATGCAAAACAGAAAAAGAGACTCAGATATATAGAACAGACTTGTGGACTCTGGGAGAAGGCGAGGGTGGGATGTTTCAAGAGAACAGCATCGAAACATGTATATTATCTAGGGTGAAACAGATCACCAGCCCAGGTTGGGTGCATGAGACAAGTGCTCGGGCCTGGTGCACTGGGAAGACCCAGAGGGATTGGGTGGAGAGGGAGGTGGGAGGGGGGACTGGGATGGGGAATACATGTAAATCCATGGCTAATTCATTTCAATGTATGACAAAAACCACTGCAATGATGTAAAGTAATTAGCCTCCAACTAATAAAAATAAATGGAAAAATAAAATAAAATAAAATAAAATGATAATGAAAAATGCAAACAAAACAAAAGAGAAAACTAAGGCAATGAAGAGCCTGGAAGTCTTAATATCTACATAAAAGGAGTACCTGAAGGATTAGAAATGAAGGAAATCTTTGAAGAAATAATGGCTGAGAATTTCCCAGAATTTAAAAAAAAAATTCAAGACCACAAAATGAAAGGGTTCCAATTATGATACAGAAAAAAACACACCTGCTCACATTTTTTTGGCATGAAATTAGGAACATCAAAGCCCTGCCCGCCCCCAACAGTAAAAACTTCCAGTAAGGAAGAACACATCTCAAAGAAAAAAAAAACCCCAAAACAAAACAAGAAGCAGATTAATATCATCTTCATTCTCAAAGTATCATCACTGGATTTAAGAAGGCAACAAATTAATATTTTCAAAGTGCTGCAGGAAAAAATCTTTGAATATAGATTTTTATATTCAGCTAAGCTATTAAATGTGAAAAAGAAATAAAAAATATTTCCAGCCATACACAGTGTCAAAAGTTTTTACTACATGCATATCCTTTCTGAAAACAAGAATAAATGCATGACATTACATGATATGTGGAAATGAAGATGTGTAATACTGTAGCTAATTTTAATCATGTATACAAAAACTAAGACCATAAAAACAAGCAAAAACATTAAGGTTGGGGATTGAATGGTGGTCCAGTGGTTAGGACTCAGTGCTTTGGACTCAGTGCTTCATTGCCATGACCTGGGTTCAATCCCTGCTCAGGGAACTAAGATCCTGCAAGCTGCATGGAATGATGCCCCCCCACAAAAAAAGAAAAAATAAACCACAAATTAAGGCAATCTTAAAGATTTACTTTATGTATTCCCAATGTGGTGGTCGATGGAATAGAAGAAAGCAGCAGGATGGAATTTAGAATGAACTAAGTGGGAAGGAAGAAAGAGATACTGATCAGCCTTGGGTGTTGATAAGCTAGGAATAATCACCCATAGGATAAAAGAAAACATATCACTCTTAAAGCAGAAGAAAATTCTAGTTTATTCAATAGTAAATGGGAAACAAAAATAAAGGAAAAAAGTTTAAAGACAACATGACAAGTGTTAGCAAATAGAACAGAGGTTCCTCAAAAAATTAAAAACAGAACTACCATATGACCCAGCAAGTCAACTTCTAGGTGTTTAACCAAAGAAACAAAAAACCATAACTCAAAAAGATATATGGACCCCCATATTCATTGTTGCATTATTTACAATAATCAAGACATGAAAACAGCATAAGTGTCCTAAAAATTGATGAATGGATAAAGAAAATGTGGTCAAAGTGAAGTCGCTCAGTCATGTCCAACTCTTTGCAACCCCATGGACTATAGTATGCCAGGTTCCTCCATCCAAGGAATTTTCCAGGCAAGGACACTGGGGTGGGTTGCATTTCCTTCTCCAAGGGGTCTTCCCAACCCAGGGATCGAACCCAGGTCTCCTGCACTGCAGGCAGATTCTTTACCACCTCAGCCACCAGGGAAGCCCTGGTGAAAATGCGGCATGTATATGTATATAGACAATGGAGTATTATTCAGCCACAAAAAGAAGGAAATCTTGTCATTTGTAACAAAATGGATGAACTTGGAGGGCATTATGCTAAGGGAAATAAGTCAGACAGAGAAAGCCTAATAGTGTATGATCTCACTTCTATGTAGAATCTCAAAACAAAAATAAACCAAGACCACAGATACAGAGAAGAGATTGACGGTTGCCAGAGGGCCTGGGTGAAGGGTGAGTGAAACGGCAAAGGGGGTGAAGAGCACAAACTCCAGTGTGAAGCCATGAGACCGTAACGTACAGCATAGTGACTATGAATACCATTCATAGTACTCTCTTGCATATTTAAAGGCTGCCAGAGATAGATCTTAAAAGTTCCCAACACAAGAAAAAAAAAATCTATAATTATGTGTGGTGACAGATGCTAACTGGACTTACTGAGGTGATCATTTCACAGCATATGTAAATACTGAATCATTAGATGTTCACCTGAAATCTAATATAATGCTGTATGTCAATTATATATTAAAAAATCTACATCAGAAGAATAGCTTTTAAAAATTCTTAGGTAGCTACAACCTGGGGAAAAACTATTAATTAGGCTAAAAGGAAATCATTTAAAAAATTGAAACATTCATAATATAAAATTTATGACACATAAGTATAGCATTAGTCATAGAAGTTTAGTTACAGAAGTAAACTTACTTTAACTACATTCATCAAAACAATGTAGGTTGAAAACAGAGGAGCTAACTACTGATATTAATAAAGATGGGAAGGAAAGAGTAAGGCCAAAGAAAGAAGCAAGAAGATTATAAAGACAGGGCAAGAATAAGCAACAGATAGAAAAAAACAAATAATAAGCAAAAACTATTTCTTTGAAAGGCAAAATAGTTTGAAAGACTAATTGGGGGAAAGAAGATGCAAATAAATAAGACATAAAATGAAAAAGAAGAGATGAGACATGACACATTTAAAATATAAAATTTTATAAATAGCTATGTGTCCATAAATTTTAAAACTCAGACTAAGTGGATAAATCTGTAGACTATAATCAAATGCCACATATACCACACAGAGAAAAATAAAACTAATATATCTAATATTCACAGAAGAAACTTAAGTGGTAATCAATGATTTCCTTCTGGGAGAGACATAAGGACTAGGACTACATGGTTTCATAGATGAGCTCTCTCAAACTTTTGAAGGACAGAAAACCCCTACTGTATACAAACTGATCCATGAATAGAAAGAAAAGGAGGGGTTCAGAGAAAAAAACATGTAAATCATTTAATGAGGTCAATGTTCTCTTGATTTCAAAATAAAGCAAAAATGCTACCCCCAAATCTAAGCATTTCCACTCATGAGCACATCTGCACATATAACAAATATTACCCAATAAAATCAAACAATACATAGGAAAAAACCTATCAATGAGGATTTACAACACAAGGATAGTATAACATTAGAAAAGTCTATCAGTGTGATTCAGCACATTAATGAACTTAGGGAGAAATCACATAATTATCCCAATAGTTGTAGAAATATTCTGATAAAGTTCAGTGCCAATTTATGATCTTTTTAAAACAGAAAACTTGATAGAAGATATGTACCAAGAACCCATAAGAAAAAAAATCAATGCAGTACATTACTTTTAAGGCTGAGAAAACTTTAGGATTTCTCACTGTTACTAATATCTAATCATGATATCTATTAAAGGCCCCATGAAGGGCTGTTTACTATGGTAAGGAACCGAACTTATGCACACATTAAAGAATATTAAGCAAGAGAATGACATAATTTGATTTGAGGATGAGAAAGATCAATTTGTGGCACTGTAGAAGACAGATTAGAATAGGGAAGACTAATGACATGGCAATCATATAGCAGGTTATTCAAATCATCAAGGTGAGAAAAATTAGATCCTGAGTAAAGTAACAAAGATGCTGACAAGTCTCAAGGATTTAATAGATATCATGATGTGGAACTGAAAGACTTGCTAAGATTCTTGGCATTCTGAACTGAAGAGTAGATGAAGATCAATCATGACTGAGTTTTTAATTCAGACAGTTTCAGTTTGAATGAACTGATGTCACACATAGATATTATAGCACATAGAAAAGCAAGTCCCAGGGAAGAACAGTTTCCTTTTGGAAATGCTGAAATTGAACTATTCATATAACATAAAAAGGGGATGTCTAATAATCATTTTAAAATATAGTTTTAGTGCTTTAGAACAATTTGGTTCAAAAATATAAGATTGGAAATCATCACTGATATGCAATATCTGAAGCCACTGGAGTGATGAAGAGGAAGAAAGTGAAGAAGCCTCGTACAGAGGTCTACTGATAGCATCCCTCTGGGAAAAAGAAGAAAAGGATGGAACAATTAGAGAGGAAAAGAATGATAGGTGGAATTCAAGGCAGTAGGCAGTTGGTTTTAAACACTGCAAAGAAACCAAGCAAAGAAAGACTGAAAAGTACCTATGTGACTTGATTACAAAATTCCTGTAAATCTTAGAGAGAACAGATTCACTTAATAGTGGGAGCAGAAACTACACTGCATTGGGCTGAGAAGGAAATGAGAAATGGAAAAAAAAAAAAAGGTGACTAGTAGGATCTAATTGTTTAAGAAGCTCCAGTTGTGAGGAAAAGGTATTACAAAGGCCTGCATCTAGAGAGGAAAAGGTTTGAGTGTGTTTATAAGCAAATGGGACGGAGGCAGTGAACAAAAGGTCAAGTAGAAAGTAGGGGAGGCAGATCCTTGAGGATGGGGTGGGGGGCGTGAGCCCCTGCTTTGGTGGGAGGGAAACAGAGCACTCCCTCCATGACAGCAAGGATCTTTGTTTTGTTCACTCAGTTCAGTCGCTCAGTCGTTTCCAACCCTTTGCGACCCCATGGACTGCAGCACGCCAGGCTTCCCTGTCCATCACCAGCTCCCGGAGTTTACTCAAGCTCATGGTCACTGAGTCAGTGATGCCATCCAACCAACTCATCCTCTGCCGTCCCCTTCTCCTCCTGCCTTCAATCTTTCCCAGCATCAGGGTCTTTTCCAGTGAGTCAGTTCTTCACATCAGGTGGCCAAAGAATTGGAGTTTCAGCCTCAGTATCAGTCCTTCCAATGAATATTCAGGACTGATTTCCATCAGGATGGACTGGTTGGATCTCCTTGCAGTCCAAGGGACTCTCGAGTCTTCTCCAACACCACAGTTCAAAAGCATCAATTTTTCTGTGCTCAGCTTTCTTTATAGTCCAACTCTCACATCCATACATGACTACTGGAAAAACCATAGCTTTGACTAGACGAACCTTTGTTCACTGGTGAGTCCTAAATATCTCTAATATATCTCATATGTGGCAGGTACCCAGTAAATGTTTATGGAATGAATGCTATTAAAGAGAAAAAAGAAGTAAAAAATGGGGCACTTTCACTCAGGGAGTGTGAGAGAAAGTAAATGCATGAGTCCAGCACATGGCCTGTATATTTCTATAAAGCAGCAGCCATGACCATCAGATAGAAAGAAGGACAAAGACTAGAAAAGTGAAGATTTGAACTAGTTTTGCTGAGGAGTCAGCTATAAAGAATGTCAGACATTTGCAGGAGCACTAAGTCACCTAGTTGTCTGTTTTTCTCCAAGAAGACAGAGTATGCTGACTGCAGAAGAGCGTGACTGGATGGATTCAGACTCAGAAACTCAGCAAATCCAATCCAACCAAGAGACAGCTTGACTACAGGCAATGAAACTGACAGTGAAAGAATGGCTGTAGTCATGGATCATGCCAGTCAAGGACATGAGGACGACAGAAGAACCTAAGAAGGGAAGGAAAAACCAAGAAAAAGGGAGAAGACATCCAGGACCAGAGGTGAGATCAAAGAATAAGAGGAAGAGGGCGAGTGAAACAACAGCAGGATACCACTGACAGCCTGTCATCTCTTCTGCACTCCTTCCCTCCTCGAAGGTCCTTCTCTCTCCACTTCATTTACAAACCATTTCCAGACTAGGTGATTTCTTAACTACGATCCTGTCAATACCTTGTATATATGCTTTATAAATTCCCTTTGGAATTTGTAAGCTTGGCCTCGCTTATCAAGTTCCACCTAAGCTGTGAGTGCTCCGGCCCTCCTGTGCTGCCATCAGGCTATCATTTCACCACTCATCTCTACACACTCAGCCTGCCTAGACCTTTTCCACTTTTCAAACATGAAAATTCGTCTCCTCCTATTGCTGGAAACGTTTTGTCACAACCAGAGTATGTTCAATCACTCATTCTCCCTCCTTGGGGGTGCCAGACTCAGCAAGTAAAAACACAGGGTGCCAGAAAAACAATGGATAATGTTTAATGTAAGTACATCTCATGCAAAATCTGTATTCATCTGGCAATCCTATTCTCCACCCCCATCAACATTCCAAAATTGTACCCTAATGTTACATTCAAATGTCACCTTCGCAATTCTGAAGTCTTCCCTGGACCCTTCAAAAGTGTGTTGCTTCCTTCATTTGATCAATGGGTTTTTACTATTCTAGGTGCAAGGAGTAAGAAACTGTGAAGCAGGAATAGTTGCTCCCTACAAGGAATTTTCAACCAGAGAAGTAGAGAGGGGAGTAATAAGAGACAGTCACAATAAAGAAGTCAGTCCAACATGCACACTTATGAACACTTTTTGCAAAAGGGGGCATGCTGCAATCAAAACTTACAGAACAGGAACTCAAACATTTACTGAATAAATAAAAAAATTTCCTCAATTCTTGAGATGAATACACTTTATGAAACACAGTTTCCTCTATTGTACTGACTCCTGGCTTGATTTGGCAGAAGTATTATTTAGTCAATTAAAAAAAAAAAAGAATGTCTTCATGTAATAAAAATATAATAAAAGTCCAATCAATGATTAACTAGTTTGGATACTTGAATTCTTCTATGTTCTTGAAAAAGAACAACTTACCACACGTTGAGCTGCTATCAATGCTGCTAAGGTACTTCGCCCTGGTGCTCCCGGGGCACAGAAGGAAACTTGAACTTTGCTCCCCTTGATGGTCATGCCATCAGCTGCTTGTTGAACCTCTTCAGCATGCTCTGCAGTGCTATATTCAACCACTGCAAAGCCACCAACATAACTACCTTCATCCTGTGCAAGCTGATGTGATACAATTATTAAAAAGGGAATTCTAATACTTAGTTACAATTATTTATTTACAAGTAAATCATCTGTAAATTCAAGGACAAATGTCTCAAAGCATGCTACCGGTGAAAATATTGTATTCCTTTTTTTCCCGAAAATAAAACTTTATTAGTTGGGTAGGTACAGTCTTTCTAGAAGATGGGAAGATAAGTAAGATTCTGTCAAGCTTCTTTCTGCTTCTTTGAATCTCTGATTTATTTTAAAAGTCAGTGTTCAAATGATTACAGTTCCTATATACTAATATATATATATATAATTAATAATCAATAGAAAAATTTGGGGACACAACAATTGAACTTTCTTTAAAATAAATTCACCAGATACACAGATGATGAAACCTGTTGAATCTGATCATATATCTCTTTGCATTATCAAGAGAACAAAAGTAGAAGGAACCATATTCAACTTTTATTTCAATATTTTAGGTATCCCAGGAATTTGGGCAAGAATACCAAAGTAAGCCTTATTTAGGAAACTGCCCCAGGTTTGTTTAAAATACCATATGCAGGACACAACCTTTTCCTGAATGTGCCCTAAACAAACTCCTGCAAAGCAGAACTCAATTTATTTCCAGTCACCCATGTGTAAGAGTGTAAAGGAAATACTAAAGCCCTGGATCCATAAAGACTGGTACAAAGAGCAAAAGTAAGAAAAAAAATACAACACTAAAAAGTTTCTAAGTGTTGAACATATCTGAATCATCTTAAACACATTCGTATCCAGTGATAAATGTGATAAAATTTAGCTTTGTATGTCTCTGAAGTATAGAAATAGTCCAATAGAAATATCTACAAAACTTCTGTTTGGACTTGGCATCTCATAAATTGGTATACAATTCAATCATTTCTTAGTCATTTTTTAGCTTTTCTCTTATTTTTGAAGCTTTTTTGTATAGTAGACCAAATTTCTGTTTTTTTCCCTTTCTCATCCTTTCTTCCTTTTAAAACTATCCACAAATGTCTTTTCCTCCATAAAACTTCTTCCATTCATGTGGAAGAAAGGGAAAATATCTACCTCTTCCAAATATTTCTCCTACAACCTCATTCCTTTTATTCAAACCAAATCTTAAATTTAGATTTGTAAAAGTCATTAGTCCCTTTGGTCCCTTCTGATCACAAGGTAAGAAGACTGTGTCTTCCATATAGTCTATGTCAACCTACCAAACCAGAGAGCTGGAGTTTAACAGATTTACTGATAAAGGCATTCAAAGTGGCTTTATTAAGCTTTTGAAAATTTCTAAAATATTTTTATTATTCTTAGTTTATTATATAATCTTCATGCCAAATAAATTATACTATCATTTTAAGTCTTTCAAAAAAATATCATTTTAGTTTCATAGCATTGGTAATTTTAAAGAGCAATATTTCCATTCAATATGAGAGCCATTCAAATATGTAATGGCATGACTTGTGATCTATTAATAGTAAATTTTCCATTACTTAAAAATACTTTAACAAAAGCTAATGATCACTTACAATGATTGTAACAAACCTTTTTCTTTTTTAACCAGATGGAAAACAAGACCAGATAGCCTAAGTCCCTTCTAACTCCAAGATTCATAATTCAAATATAGTATGTAAAAAACAGCTTTCCCCTCATATTTGCTTCAAAGGCCTCAATTAAAGCTACAAAGGATTATGCTTGGTTACAGGATACCACTATATAATTTTTAGTATTCAAGAATAGCATATCAATAAGACAACTTTCAATAACTTGGCAAAGATTTGTCACAAAGTATTCTAATTTTTTGAAGCTCCATGGATAGTTTCTTTGATGATTATATTGGGACTGGAGGGGCAGAAATGTAAGGAGAAGTAAGATGGCAGCATTAATTTTAATGAAATAAACTATAATAAATTTCAAATTTTCTACTGCAAGAGTAGAGATTCAATACATGTATGATAATAGAAAAATAAGGGTGAGCAGAGGAAAGACGGGAGATAAGAAGGAGCAAAGGAAGAGAGACGAAAGGAAGAAATGAAGGGAAGTGAAAGAGAAAAGTTTCATCAGGTGCTATAAAAACCTGTATAGGAAAAAAAAAAAACAAACCTGTATAGGAAGGAGCCAAATACAGTATATATTTTTGTCTATTTGGTAGAATTTATTCAATTTTATTCTGATAAAGTGCTTGAAAATTCTTACCAACATTGTCAGTTTTCAGGATCTTCTCTAAATGTCTCACTTACCATGACCCCATTAAGACAGAATAAAGCATTCTTACTACACCATGTAACACTTTTCGATTTTGCATTATCTCACTCTTCATACGGGATATATAGTTATTTGCTTATCTGTCAGCGTACTCTACAAAACTGTGAGGTATAGAGAGAATATCTTCCTATTTGTTATATTTCTGACATTTAGCGGTATGGTACTTGGCACCGAGAATGCGACAAATCAAATGTGGGTGGATGAAGTGATCAATGCATGAATGGTTCAAGAACAGATGAAAGGAGAAGGTGGATGCATTAAGTGTTGGGTTTGCTAAGACATAATTATATAAAAACAACACAGTCTGGCCCACCAACAAAAGAAATTGATTTAAAATTTACCATCATATTAAAGTGTTCATTACAAACTAAAGTAAAAGGAGATTATCCATGCTGATATTTACATGGGTCTAATAAATATGTGAGTCCATGCAGATAGATTTAAATATTTCAAATAATACCTTAAAAATACATACCTGGCAAAACACAGGTTTATGGATACTGGAAAAAAACTGCAACAGCTCCTCTGAATCTCTATAGTCACTAGGGAGTTTATCTATACAAAGGCACTTAGAATGAATGAGCTCTGCGGCCAGTAGATTAACATCCATCCACTGTGCAAAGACAGCCGATGCTCCCAACTGTTTACCCAATAGCTCCAATCGAGCCTTTGCAGCAAAGTCCTTTTTCATGTATTCTACAAATCCATAGCCTTTGGAATGGCCAGTAACTTCACTGTAGACAAGGAAACATCTCTCAACATTTCCATAAGCACGAACGAGCTCTTCAAACTCTTCTAACGTAAAAGAAGTGGGCAAGTTGGTAACACACAGCAAAGCATCTGTTGGCTGGAGCTGGACTACTAAGTCTTTTCCCCGAAAAGAATGTTGATGGAACGTCTGAATTGCTTTCCGCGCTTGCTCCCCATTCAGTAAGGTAACAAAAGCTGGAAGAAGATAGAATGAATGAGTTTTCTGAGCCAGTGTTTTCAAGCTTTTTTGATCATGACCCACAGTAAGAAATACATTTTATACCTATGCCTCAGTACACATATGTAAGTGCGTTAGTCACTAAATCATGTCTGACTCTTTGCGACCCCATGGATTGTAGCCCAACAGGCTCCTCCGTCCGTGGAATTCTCCAGGCAAGAATACTAGAGTGGGTTGCCATTCTTTTTTCTCCAGGGGATCTTTCCAACCCAGGGATCAAACCCGGGTCTCCGGTATTGCAGGCAGAGTCTTTACTCTCTGAGCCACCGGGAAAGCCCACACACATGTGCATGTATATATATTTCTGAAACAAAAGTATCAGGAAGCAAAACACCTATCATGTGTAATATATTCTGATATTTTTTATTCTATTTCATTGTTTTCAAATGCTGATACTCCCACTTAAACAATTTCATGACCAGTAACTCAAAAAACATACAATATATATTAGGAGCTCCACTTCTGGGGGGAAGGGTGATGGTAGTCTTTTTAAACTACACACAGATTTGATATTTTCCATCAATAATATGATAATTTCCATCAATAATATGATAATTTCCATCAAAAAATTTCCATTAAAAATTTTCCATCAATTTTCCATCAATATATTTCCAAAATAATAATATTTTATGAACTATTCTTTCTTCTCAGAGAGTTCTCAAAGGCCCTATTTGATAATAAGAATATCTAAAATATACCTTAAAAATAGGTAATTTTAAAATTATTTAAAAAAAGACTACCTAAAAGAACAAAGGCATAGCCAAAAGACACCAAAATGTCCAGAGGAAGCCAAATCTTTCTCCAATTCATGTACATGTTTCCTTAAAATAAAATTAATTACATTGAAACAATACATACACATACAATTTGTATACTGTTGGGATGAACAATATGGTATGAAAAGATCACAGGATTATGATACTGGACAAGTAGCTTACCTTCGAATCTTTGTAGAACAAACCAAAGAGGGGGAAAAAAACCTGTCCTGTCTACCTAATGAAGTTGTTCCATCATTAAGCAACAAATAGACTGATAATTTGCAAAATCTAAAACATGATACAAATATAAAATCCTAAATCAATGAAATATCATACACACATGTGTATCTGATAAGATTTTGGGCAATATGATAAGAAAAATTTGAAACCCCCACATTAAAGAAACAACACAGGACAAACCACAAATTAGAAACACACTGATCTCTCAACCTTCCTCCCTCTCCTCTCCCTCTTTGGAACGCACAATGAAGGTGCCCCCATATGAGTACCTAACTTACCCAAATGCAAAGATAACAACATGGCAAATGTGCACACAGCAAGAGAGAAAGAATTTAGACAGCATGGGCAGTCCTGCCTGCCACCGCGCTCAGTCTTCTCCTCCCTTTCCTGGTCTTAGCGCCCGTGCGCCTCTCAGACTGCGAGCATCTCTCCACAGTGAGTGCAATGCTAATATTTAAAGAATTACATTTTTTATTTAACATGAAATCCACATACAAGGAAACTACTTACAGAGGAATAGCTATCTCTTCCAGCACTAGGGGGAAAATGGCTTTGCTGCACTTACTGAGAGATTATCTCTTGGTTTCCAACAAGCCCTTATAAAGGACTTGAGTTATTTTGATTCCATGACTTTCTTTCCTTATGCTGACATAGAACTTCCCTGGTGGCTCAGATGGTGAAGCGTTGGCCTACAATGCGGGAGACCTGGGTTCAATCCCTGGGTCGGGAAGATCTCCTGGAGGAAGAAATGGCACCCCACTCCAGTGCTCTTGCCTGGAAAATCCCATGGACGGAGGAGCCTGGTGGGCTGCAGTCCATGGAGCCGCAAAGAGTCGGACACGACTGAGCGACTTCACTTTCTTTCACTTTAGCTCATAAGTTCATCAGTTCGTATTTGATTTGAATTCTCCGGGTATCTGAAACTGCTAACCACTCCCCTCCTTAACTTCCTTAATAAAGTCCTTCACAATTTTCTTCATACTAGCCTAAGAGGACTCCTCCTTCCATTTCCTTTGCTATATTTTTCTCCATTCACACCTGTAAGGTAGTAATCTTAAGGTTCCTTCCCGGAAGAAGCACAAACAGTGACGCCAGTGACTGTACCAGCAGCCCTGAGCCATAAATCCCCGCTACGCCCCCTTCCCTGGGCACTCACATCCATGCCCATATACTCATTTCTCATGTGCCAGGCTCTGTGTTAGGCCTGGAAAGGAGGGGGTCAACAAAACAAGTAACATCCTTTTCAACAAGGACCCCACAATCCAATAGAGGATGACAGATTAGACAGAGAGTTACAAGTGTGATATTACCAAGAAGTATGGGGGGCTATGAAAGCAATTAATAGAGCAAAATGGCTAGTCTGGGGGCTCATAGAAAACCTCTTATTCTCTTGTCAATTCTCAAAACTACATTTCTAGTCCTTAGTTCCATATATACTCACATGCTGATTCACACATGATCAAACATAACTCATGATCTTCAGCCTCTCCGTTCCTGTAAAATCTCAACATGCCTCAGCTTCCTTCATTTTCTGTCTTAGCTGCTAGCATCACACTCACAAATGGGAAACCTAGAATTACCTGAGACCCTATCTGCTTTACCTCTCACTTACAGGCATCCTCAAATTTTACCCTCCAAATAGGTCTTGGATCCATCCTCTTTCCTTCATTCTGCTAGCTTTTCAAGCCTTTTTCTTCAATGACAATAAAGCGAACTCTCAAAAATGAAAGTTTAATTGTGCCTCTCTACTGCCTAAAATGCAATGATTTACTATCAAAAATGAAGCCAAGACACAGCGTAGTTATCATGACCTACCAGGCCCTTTTGATCTAACGCCAGCCTCATTAACTGTCAAACTGACCATCCCCCACCACACTTCTTTATTCTCCAACAACACTGAATTGTTTGTAGTTCCCTAGGTATCACCTTGTTTCAAGTATCTATACAAGTCACTCTCCTGCCTACAAGATCTCTCCCATATCTTCAGCCATTCAAATCTTTTAGTTGGCTTTCAAATTCAGCCCAGGGATTAATGTATCATGATCTCCAGGAAGCATTCTCTGATGTTCTCTTCCAGTTAGTTAATCCCTGTTTTATTACCCCTCTGTATTTTGAACATTGACTGGATTATTGCAGACATCCCAATGTATTATAATCTTTGTTTAGATGTCTGCTATTCTAATCAACTGTGAGATCCCTAAACTGCTATGGAATATATATCTCCATCAGTTATCATACTGTCAGGTCCACAGTGGAGCTTCTGTGTCAGCTGAATGGATGAATGTATAAATGCATAGATTAACTCAGTTCAGTTCAGTCGCTCAGTCGTGTCTGACTCTTTGCGACCCCATGAATCGCAGCATGCCAGGCCTCCCTTTCCATCACCAACTCCTGGAGTTTACTCAAACCCATGTCCATCAAGTCGGTGATGCCATCCAGCCATCTCAACCTCTGTCATCCCCTTCTCCGCCTGCCCCCAACCCCTCCCAGCATCAGGGTCTTTTCCAATGAGTCAACTCTTCACATGAGGTGGCCAAAGTATTGGAGTTTCAGCTTCAGCATCAGTCCTTCCAATGAACACCCAGGATGATCTCCTTTAGGATGGACTGGTTGAATCTCCCTGTAGTCCAAGGGACTCTTAAGAGTCTTCTCCAACACTACAGTTCAAAAGCATCAATTTTTCAGCACTCAGTTTTCTTCACAGTCCAGCTCTCATATCCATACATGACCATTGGAAAAACCATAGCCTTGTCTAGACGGACCTTTATTGGCAAAGTAATGTCTCTGCTTTTTAATATGCTATCTAGGTTGGTCATAACTTTCCTTCCAAGGAGTAAGTGTCTTTTAATTTCATGGCTGCAATCACCATCTGCAGTGATTTTGGAGCCCAAAAAAATAAAGTCTGACACTGTTTCCAATGTCTCCCCATCAATTTCTCATGAAGTGATGGGACCAGATGCCATGATCGTTTTTCTGAATGTTAAGCTTTAAGACGACTTTTTCACTCTCCTCTTTCACTTTCATCAAGAGGGTCTTTAGTTCCTCTTCACTTTCTGCCATAAGGGTGGTGTCATCTGTATATCTGAGGTTATTGATATTTCTCCCAGCAATCTTGATTCCAGCATGTGCTTCTTCCAGCCCAGCGTTTCTCATGATGTACTCTGCATATAAGTTAAATAAGCAGGGTGACAATATACAGCCTTGATGTACTCCTTTTCCTATTTGGAACCAGTCTGTTGTCCATGTCCAGTTCTAACTGTTGCTTCCTGACCTGCATACAGGTTGCTCAAGAGGCATGTCAGGTGGTCTGGTATTCCCATCTCTTTCAGAATTTTCCACAATTTATTGTGATCCACACAGTCGAGGGCTTTGGCGTAGTCAATAAAGCAGAAATAGATGTTTTTCTGGAACTCTCTTGCTTTGTCGATGATTCAGCGGATGTTGGCAATTTGATCTCTGGTTCCTCTGCCTTTTCTAAAACCAGCTTGAACATCTGGAAGTTCACGGTTCACATATTGCTGAAGCCTGGCTTGGAGAATCTTGAGCATTACTTTACTAGCCTGTGAGATGAGTGCAATTGTGCGGTAGTTTGAGCGTTCCTTGGCATTGCCTTTCTTTGGGACTGGAATGAAAACTGACTTTTTCCAGTCCTATGGCCACTGCTGAGTTTTCCAAATTTGCTGGCATACTGAGGGCAGCCCTTTCACAGCATCATCTTTTAGGATTTGAAATAGCTCAACTGGGATTCCATCACCTCTACTAGCTTTGTTCGTAGTGATGCTTTCCAAGGCCCACTTGACTTCACATTCCAGGATGTCTGGCTCTAGGTGAGTGATCACACCATTGTGATTATCTGGGTCATGGAGATCTTTTTTGTACAGTTCTGTGTATTCTTGCCACCTCTTCTTAATATCTTCTGCTTCTTTTAGGTCTATACCATTTCTATCCTTTATTGAACC